TCTCTTTTTTTTTTTTTTAATACCAAGATAGAAACACAGAGAAAGCATCACATTTAATAGTAGAGCTGCACCGGTACATCCGTCTGATATTGGATCAGCACCAATATAAAGAAAATTGATCATACTGGAAATCAACTTGAAGTAGCTGATAATTTGGCTGATAAATGCCCGTGCGTGCATACATCCACAGGCAGCATACAGGCAGGGAGGAGCACAGCTCAGCAGCTTGGACAGCTGTGTGCAGCTGGTAAGTATGGTATGTGTGGGGAGGCAGATCAAGGACCCCACAGCGAGGGAGAAGTAGGGCTGGGGAAGGGGCAGAGGCAAATGCTGCCCAGCTGCAGCTTGTCCAGGGGGCGCAGACAGCTCCCATTGCTGTGCGCCACTCATCTGGGAGGGCATGGGGAGCCGTGCCCCCAAATCTGTGTGGAGCTCTTCCCCGCTCACCCTGCCCCAGTCTGGGGGGTACACCCTCTCCCATGCCCTCTTGGACAAGTAGCAGGAGTAGTGCTGGGAGCTGCCGGACGAGCAGGCAAGCACCGGACCAGCAGCTCCTGCATGAGCAGCACACAGTGTGGGGAGCCTCCCCTCCACGCCCCTGGACAAGCCGCGGCTCCATCCCATGCCCGCCCCACCCCAGCTGGCCAGTGCTTCCCCAGCCCCACTTGCCCCTCACTGCAGGGGCCTTGATCTGCCCCCGCACCCTTCCCCTTCTACCACACTAGACTTACCAGCTGCATGCAGCTCTCCAAGCTGCTGGGCTGGTATTGGAAATTGGATTGGTATCCGATGGTGAGATGGTATCGGAATACTTAAAAATTGGCTATCGGTATCTACTCCAGTGCACCCCTATTTAAAGGATATGCTTATGATGTAGAGCAACATTCCAGTATGAGACATCTTGGGCACTCACTTCAGCCCCCCCACATATTGGAGGAGACATGACTATTGTGCAGGCCATGAACTTGCTTTTGTGAAAAAACAGAACAAATCAACTGTCAATTGACCCCAAACCATGTGCTACAAGTAACAGCACTCACTGTAAGATGAAAGGGGCCATATGCCTCTCTCAGTATAGAAGCTAAGAAAAGTGTAGTCAACAGAACAAAGGGTGGAGAGAAATAGGGTTTTCTGGACAGAAGGTGGTTCATCTGGAAGCCTAGGACTGTTCCAATAGCGTAAGGAAGCCAAGAAGTCTTAGAAAGTAAGTGCTTGAATGACAGCATAAGAGCACCAAGGGAAAAAGAATTCTTAATTTGAACAAATAAAATCTTAAGCCTCATATTTCAACAATGAAGACCATGTTGTGAAATTATGTACAATTCTACCATCTAGTGGCAGCCTGAAAAAAAAAACACTGTAATTACAGAGCATGAGCAGACATTAGATGTTGTATTTGCTCCAGGACTAGTTGTGACCTGTGTCTGTCCCAGAGCAGAAAAGTTGTGGGACTGTCATGTCCACATGCCAAACCTCTGACAGGGGCTCAGTGACTGGCTGAATGCACTGCTGCTTTTTTGCCACTGATGCAATCCCAGGACATCCAATGAGACACATTTTGCAATTTCCCAGGACAACCTGTTAGTGGATCTTAACTCTCAAACCTTTTCAGGGTCTGTCCCAGAACAACGGAAAGGAATGCCTGGATGATCACAATTTGTCCCAGGAAAAAATGGATTCTCTTGAGACAAATGTTGTGTTTGTTCATAGCCTAGAGTTACAACTGCATGTATCTAGCATCACCATTTTTTAACTATACTTCACTTCAGAGAGAACAAATAACTTGTCTCAAAAAAGCAACAACAACAAAAAAACCTCCAAAAAAAGTTATTTTAGAAAACCTTCTTGAACCTAAGAAGGGACAAAAGCATTCTCAAACCAACTTCAGTTTTCCCAAGTGCAGGCTGTAGCCATCACACTTTTATCTTGAAGGGAAACACACCATTCACATAGGTCAGTGGTATTCAACCTTTTTGGCTAGTGAGCTGGATGGACAGTGCCCATTCCCTCTGCAGGGCAGACCCTGTGGGGCCCCCATCTGGACAAACACCAAACAGCCATGTGGTAGAAGGTGCTGTGACCTGGCCTCAACCAGCCCCACAGAAAGACGGGACATGGCTTGCCCCATGGGAGGAAGGGAGCATGACCTAGCCCCAACCAGGCTGACAGATGGAAGGGGGCTGAGCCCAGCCCTGAGGAGAGGGGACGGAGTGGGGCCTGGCCCATATGGAGAAGGGAGTCCAGGCTGGCCCCCACCTGGCAGCCTGGAGGAAAAGGGGGCATGGCCTGGCTCCAATCTGGCCATATCGGGGAAGGGTTATGGCCCAGCTCTGACCCATCCCGTGGAGCTTGGCATTTTGGCAGTAGGGAGGGATGGCAGCGCTGGCACTGCTCCTTCATTGCCAAATTTCCCAACCCATTGGGAGCCCTGCAGGCTGGATTCTAAGGCTTGGCTAGTCCCATTTGGCCTGTTGGCCAGAGGCTGAGCACCCACTATAGGCAGTCAGTTAAGACTGCTAGGTCAGGAACAGGTTCTCTAATCACAACATCCATTCACACACAGCTGCTTGCCTCTCTCTGACCCCCCCCTGCCATGAAGCGAGACAGATGACAACTACAAAATACAGTTCCAAATTAAGATAATTTAACAAGAATTTGAGAATGTGCAATATTAGTTTCTGATGAAAACAGAACACCAGTTCATTTTCTTGGTCCCTCAAGGCACTTGTTTTAGCTAATGGACATACCTCCAAACTGACAAGCAGCACCTGATATTATTTGTTCACTAACCCAAAAGGACCCTGGCTGGTAGCCCATTTCACTGAACATTAGTGAGCCAGGGAGAAGGATGCAGCAATTTCCAGCCTTGGGGTTTTTTCATTTAGTATTGGTCAGGACTAGCCCCAGAAGACGAAGAAAGTGCAATTGGGGACACTTCATATGCAAGTCTTGGAACTGACAGGCCAGACCTCTCTGGTAACTGGAGCAGATGGAAAAAGAAATACTGCCAATTAAATATTCTTTAGCAGCTACTGGAGAATAACTATCAATTTTTATACTGATCTTCACTGCTAAAACTACAGGGCTCTGATCTTACTTGGCATACTGCAAACTGGATAACAAGCTTTAGTAATGGTTGTGAGAGAAGTGAAAGATGCAAATAATGTGGTGCCTATAGACAACAGGATCAAAAAAAAAACAAAAAACCTTTCCCTTAAGGGGATGATTATCTCATACCTTCTTACTGCAAGATTTTCTTTTGTTGCACCTTCCTCTGAAACAACTGTTGGCCAGTGCCAGTGGCCAGAGACAAGAAACTGAACTAGGCCAACTAAACCTGTCCGGCATTTTTTGTTTTGAAGGACATAGAAGGAGCATAGAGGTGGGGGGCCAGTGGAGTGGTGAGGAATTTCTTCAGCCCGGGCAACTTGTACTCATATATAATAGGCTGAAAAAGAACCCCATTCTTGGAGAAAATAATAGTCTTCCAGTATTAAGAACCGAGAAAGAAATTTCTCAGCTGTTTAGACGCCTAGCATAAAAGTAACAATACCAAATAACAGTTGATTTTATTTAAAAGTATATGTACAACAGTTACCTCGAGAAATTTCCAGTGTCTACTTTCTGATCCATACAAGTCCACAAACAATGTCTACTGTCCCTACCTAAATGGCAGCATGTTACATTCATAATCACACTGAGATGCCACTGTGTTGGTTCTTAAAACATGGAAACTTGGACTCTTGGGCTCTCTCTGGTCCCTTTCATCAATCGACAACCAGGAATGTGAGTATAAACCAGTAATCCTTAATCTGGGTACTAGAAGATCCCTTTAGGGATGCTGAACAATATTAGCACTGTTAGGTACACAAAACCAAACAATTCACAAGATAAAACCAGAGATTTCAAACAGGAATTGATGAAGTCTTTCTGGGTTCTTTGCAACAAAAAGATACTATATTATTTTCCTGTAGTTGTTATTCCCTATTGTTTTACCATAGTGGTGCTCTATTAAAAACAAAAAACCCCAGAAAACCGACCCCAAATTCCAAAATAGTTATGGAAGGGTACCTTAACTCTAAAAAGATTGAGACTCACTGGTTTAAGCAATTCTTCATTTACATCTGAGAAAGCAAGAAACAATGGTTTTTAGCTCATGGAACAAATTGTGCTTTATCAAAAACAATATAATTAAATCCATCTCAAGGCAGCCAAGTGACAGTTAGGGCGGCTAGGAGCTGGAACCAACTTCCAAGGGAAGTGGTGCTGGCCCCTACCCTGGGGGTCTTTAAGAAGAGGCTGGATGCCTACCTGGCTGGACTCATTTGAGTCCCGTTTCTTGTTTTGGGGTTTTGTTGTTCTCCCGCCCTGGCGGGGGGGTCGGGCTAGAAGACCTACCAGGTCCCTTCCGACCCTAAATCTATGAAACTATGACATATCCTTAATATATAGAGTGGATTAAACTGCTACTGAGAGTCCAAAAATAAAGTTTTCAACTATTTTTCCATTGTTTTGAAGTGACAGTATACATCTGAAATCTAACATAATTTTTAGAAGCAGTTTTTAGGTACCATACCTGGCCCTGACTCAGTTTTCCAATTATTGTGGTCTTGTTTTTACAAATTTCTCATTTGGGACAGGGGAGGAATAAATATATACATTTTTATCCACTTTACTGCTGTATGAAAGACCTGCAGAGAACGGAGAGAACTGATGGACAATATACAAACACAAACGTCTCTTCTGTTTTCTTAAGAGTTACAGTAATTGTGCACTTTAGCGGATATTTATCAAGCTGACACTGGCTAGTTTTTGTTTGGTTCAGAGAATCGTACCAGTGCGGCAGGAGTAGCAATACAAATTCTATAATTTACAAAAGCAATACAATAGCTTGCTTCTCCTGTGCAGATCAGGCTGAAAAAAGGAATTTACCGCAGTTCATCAGTTTTTTCTGACTTCTTTGTTTACTCAAAATTTGGGCTTTCTGACATTATACTGACCAATCAACAAAGAATTCCAGGTAACCTTCATCTGGTTTCTCCAGCTTCGGCGTTCCCATTTCAGCTTTGACTCCTACCAAGATGTCAGTGTGGCCCTGTTAAAATGAACACTCGGTTCAACCAGAAATATATTCCAAGCAAGTTGCTTCTAAAATGTATCCATAACAGTTTTAATTAATTAGTTATTTGCATAAATTATTCTGCCATGTCACATTTTGAGTCTGAGCCAATATTTGCTTTAATAATTTAAAGCTTTTTGAAGAGCACTGTTAATCATGAACACATTAGCCCACAAATATTTGTCTTCTATCAATAGGACATTCTATAGATCCATTTTTGCATCATTTCAGTTCCAAAATAAATACTTTCAGAACCATTATAACATTTCAAGTGATAGCTACCATCTCTTCATACAAGTCATATGCCCTAGAATAGTAATTCCACTCAACTGTGATATTAACATGGAAAATAATTCCCTCTCTATTGCTCACAGTAGTGACTGCTTTTGCCAGATTAAACACTATTATTTCACAGTGAAGACTTCCCCCAGACATCTATGCCTAGCTCAAGTTACACAGACCATTCCTAAAGAATGTTCATATACATTTATTTTCACTACCTCCTACAATATCACGAGCTCTAATCTGTGGCATTTATCAATAACAAGTTACTATATTTATAACCAGGTCATGGACTTGAATTCAATATCACAACAGTTTCAGAATCTCCACCAACAATATATACAGATTCCGGGAGTTGTACTTACAAGCTTCACCCTTGCAGATCCACTTGTGTTTGATACCACATCTGTTTCTACTTCAATGCATCTATAGTCTTCACAGCCACGGCCATCTACTCGAAGATCCTCCTAAACATAAAAGCCACCACAGCTTTGTTAAGCAACATCAATTCACCTTTAAAAGAAAAAGCCAAAAAAAAATATAAACTTCCACACTTCATCTGAGGGACAGCACTCGTGAGTGAAGAAAAAGGACAGTTCAGAGGTTAACATACTTGACTCAGCAGGGTTCAATTCCCAATTCTGCTACTAACATCTGTGTGAAATGTAAAATAGAACTGGTACAACTTCCTTCCTACTCTGCACAACTTGTTTTGTCTTGAAACTGTGCATGGGGAGAACAACTCACATAACAAGTTCTCAGGCATTCCAACAAGTTTGTCGTCACAGAGATCATTGCAGTTCAGGGCCTTAGACTTCAAGGTCCTCAAGGCAGCATGCTTCTTTAATATCTAGCACAACAGTGCTCTGCTCCTCAGAGCCTTCAGCTCATGAAAACTTGTGCTAAATATACTTGAAAGGCAGGGTAGTCAAGCCTAGCTTCCTTGTCATAGTACCTGATGAAGCACACTTCAACTTGTGCTAAATATATGGGAAAGGGAGGCTAGTTCTGCATCTTGTAGATTCAAGCATGTGTGTATACATGCATGCAGGCACACATGTGCAATTCTGTGAGCCTACAAGGTGCACAGCTACCCTGCCGCCCCTCCCATATATTTAGCACAAGCTTTTGTGAGCTGAACTGTACTTCATCAGATGCTGTGAAAAGCCTGGCATCCTGAAGTGCGCTTCAGCTCATGGAAGCTTGTGCTAAATCATAGAATTATACAAAATTAGGGTTGGAAGGTTTCCTCAGGAGGTCATCTAGTCCAAACAGCTGCTCAAAGCAGGACCATCCCCAACTAGATCATTCCAGCCAGGGCTTTGTTCCACTGGGCCTTGAAAACCTCCGAAGATGAAAATGTCACTACCTCTCTAGGTAACCTGTTCCAGTGCTTCACCATCACCCTGGTGAGAAAGCTTTTCCTAATATCCAACGTAAACCTTCCGTGTTGCAACTTGAGACCATTGCTCCTTGTTCTGTCATCTGCCACCACTGAAAACAGTCTAGCTCAGGGGCACGCAATTACTTTGGGTGGAGGGCCACTTACACAGTTTTGGGAAGCTGCTGAGGGCCTCATGGGTAGCCCCACCCCTTGACAGGTCCCCCACCCCCTGATCACCATCTTGAGACCAATGTCCCAATGTCTTAGGGCCAGTGCCAGTGAGGCCCAGAGTGGGGCGCAAGCTGGCAGGGGTCTGTGGAGCAGGGTTGGGCTGCACCAGCAGGGAGCTGGCCTGGCTCCACAGAGCTCCTGCCAGCCGGGACCCCTGTACTCCTGCCGCCCTGCTCTGGGCTCTGCCGGCGCTGGCCCCAGGACACCGATGTGGGCCCTGTGTACCCTCTCACTCCCAGTGCCCCGAGCCCCCCAGTACAGGTAGGGAGCAGTGTACAGCCCCAAACCCCTGTTCCGCAGCAGGGAATGAGCTGGTGCTGAGTGTGGGGAAAAGCAGCACCCCCTCCTCCCTGTGGTCAACGTCCTGTGTTGCAGCCACTCACAGCCCACGTGGGGCATGGAAGGGGCTGCTTTTCCCATGCTCAGCACCAGCTTGTAACCCACCCCCACTGCCAGCCAGGGCCCCGCACTGGCTCCAGGCTCACCAGTCAGGGCTGTGCCGCGGCAACAGCAGCTGCAGCCCCCCCGCTTGCTGCGCCGGGCAGCATTTACCACCACCACCTCTGGGCTGCCCAGCGCGCAAGCTCTGGGTGGTCAACAACAGCAAACACTGCCTGGCATGGCAAGCTGGCGGGGGCCAGTGCAGCCACATGGTCCCAAGCCAGAAGCCCCTGCTGGGGCTGGGTGGGCCCTGCTGTTGTGGGAGCCTGCCGGGCTTCCCCTGGGTCCTACTGGCCCTGGTTCCTGTCATTTTTTATATGAACCACAGACAGATAAATATTAATTTTCTAAATTTTTTTAGGGGCCCCGTGGGCCAGATAGAATGGCCTCATGGGCCAGATCCAGGCCACGGGCCATATTTTGCCCCCCCTGGTCCAGTTCAATCCTCTTGGAACCACCCTTCAAGTAGTTAAAGGCTACTATCAAATCCCCCCTCAGTCTTCTCTTCTGCAGACTAAATAAACCCAGCTCCCGCAGCTTCTCCTCAAGTCCTGTGCCCCAGCCCCCTAACCATTTTCACTGTTCTTCACTGAACTCTCTCCAACTTGTCCATATCCCTTCTGTAGTGGGGGGCCCAAAACCAAACACAGTACTCCAGATGTGACCTCACCAGTGCTGAAGAAGGGAATAATCACTTCCTTCAATCTGCTGGTAACACTCCTACTACTGTAGCCCAGGATGCTGTTAGCTTCCTTGGCAACAAGGGAACACTGTTGGCTCATATCTAAATATACATAAAAAGCAGGATAAAAATGCGTGAAAGGCTTTTCACCTTGTAGACTCATGAAACTGGAAGTGCACATGCATGCATGTGCATACATACTTTGGTGAGTCTACGAGATGCAAGGTGAGTCACATCTATTTCTACTATGCTTGTAATATATTTAGCACAAATCTACCCTGCCTTTCATATATATTTAACACAAGCTTTTGTGAGATGAAGTGCACTTTAACAGACACTGTGAAAAGTAGAGGTGCACCAATATATCAGCTGCATTTCAGATTGGCACTGATAAGAGGGAAATTTACATTATCAGCTATCGGCTTTTTTTGGTCTGGTGTATCTGATAACGTTCACTGATAAATATAATAATTATGCCTTCTGGCCAGGGCCCCCTTACACCGCGTGCATATGCATGGCCACACACATGTACATGGCCAGGAATGCAGCTAAGCAGCATGGAAAGCAGCTCCCTGCAAGTAAATCTATGGTGGGGG